AGCTTACAGTAATTAGACTAGCAGTAAAGAGATTATTTCTATTCTTGATCTTCAACTCTTAATTGGAAGCTTCAGACTGCTTCAAGTTATACAAATCCTCCAAGGACATTGAATTGTCCTTACTAACCAAAGCTTACTAAATTAACCAAGACATTAACTTGTCTTTGTTACCCTCTTATCTTAATTATCTAAAAACCCTATTCTACTAACCCAAGTAGCTAGTCCTTAAGCTACTAACCAAACCTTCTTACAGCCCATCTTCTAGGATTCCTTAAAAGTCCCTTGTAAACAGGCAAGTGAGGCTTTAGAGTACTCAAGCAAGATTAGTAGGTGGTCTTTGAATTAGTCCCCCACGAACACCAGGATAGCTTGGTTGAAAGGCTAACCCAGTGAACTCTGGAAAGAAAAGATTGGGAAAACCAAATCTAAGTATTCCATACTATACCCTTCTTGCTTTTAGTCTAGAACAGACCAAACTTCATTCTCTTTTATCAAGAAGTAGCCTTCTAGGATTCTTCTAGAATCTTCTTTATACCAAACCTCATTTTATTTTTACTTACTTTTCTTATCCTAACCTTTTCTTTACGACAACGTGATATAGACTGCCTAGGTTATCACATGAATGACCAAGGCCTACATGCCGACTCAGATAAGATGGCTAGGATCTGAGAATGGCGTACGCCAAGAGACTACTTTGAAATACAATGATTTCTTGGCCTAGTCCAATACCTGGCGCATTTCATGTCAGATGTCTCTGCTTATACGGGCCCCCTTTCCGCCATGGTTAAGAACAGATGCTTTTTCTTCTGGCGCCCCATCCACCAGAGGTGTTTCAACACCATCAAGTGGATGGCATGCAAGACTCCAATCTTCAAGCCAATTGACCTGCGTTGAGACAAAACCATATGGGTCATCTGCAATGTGTCGGTGAGTGGCGTAGGAGTCTACTATGGACAAGGCCCCGAATGGGATACTTGTCGTCCGGCTGGTTTTATGTCCAAGAAGTTTACGTCTGTGCAACACTCTTACAAGATCTATGAGTTAGAGCTACTAGTGATACTCGAGGCTCTGCTCAAGTGGGAGGACAAACTTCTCAGATGAAAATCACACATTATTATGGACCACAAAGCCCTGCAGTTCATTAAGCACCAACCAATGTCCCACATGTCTTATTGACAGCTACGTTGGATGGAGTATTTGTCCCGCTTCAAGTACCACATTTTGCATGAAGCAGGTGCACACAATATTGTGTCTGACTGCTTCTCAAGATACTACTCTAACAACAAGCCTGACGAGGTGCATCTGTATGATGATTATGTCAACGCAGATGTACGTCTAGATCAGAACGGAGAAGATCTCCCTCTCGACCAATTTGAGGAGTACAAGAACATGCGGATAGGCCCAGGTGCCTCCAACGAGCCCCTGCCTGAGCGCAAACTTATTTCAAATGAATAGCTTAACGCTATTTGATTGACGAAATGCAAGAAAACTAAGACCACTGCTCAGAAAGAGCTTGAGGATGAAGATCCCATCACTCCTGCTCCTTCCGATGCCATCGAGCCTCTGCAAAGCAGAGTCAAAGGCGACACCTCATTTCTTGATCAAGTGAAGGCCGGATATAAGGATGATTCTACATTCAGTAAAATTGTCCTAGAGCCCGAGAAGTTTGCCAACTTCGAGCTCAGGGATGGCCTTCTTTATACAAAGAACTGTCTCGGAGATTCAGTACTTTGCATCCTCTGTGTCAAGCTCGACAAACGCACTCTACTGCAGATGGTAATCGACCACGCTCACACCGTGCTTGGTCACTTTGGATTCAGAAAGACAGATCAGTATATTTGTCGGTGGTACTAGTGGCTTACACTAGCCAAAGACACCAACAGGTTCTGCACATCCTGCAGAACTTGTCAGACATTGAAACCTAGTAATCAGGCTCCTGCAGGACTTCTACACAGCCTACCTATCCCAACTAGGCCATGGGGCTCTATAGCCATGGACTTTGTTGGCCCATTCCTGAAGTTGGAAGACTTCAATTACCTATGGGTAATCATCTACCGGCTCACCTCTATGGTGCACTTGATACCGATCCAGACGACCATTAGAGCATCCGGATTGGCTTGGCTATTCATCAAGGAGATAATATATCTCCATGGGCTCCCTAACAACTTGGTGTCTGATAGAGACTTGTCGTGGGCGTAGCCCCGGCCTCCTATTTTATTTTCATTTTCTCCGATTCATTCCACGTTTATACGGCCCTCCAAACGTCGTCGGCGCATTGGCGCCAGTTTACAAGTCCTAGCCGCGCACTAATACCTTGAGAGCGCATCACCGACAGGCACGCATCAGCGCATCAGACACGCCTGTATCGCCGCCACCTTGTCTCCGCATCACGCCTTCTCGGGAACAGCCACAGTCTGATCGACAACAGACATCCTATCTCCGTCGGCCCGACAGCGTCATACGCCATGACACACCAGCCCCCGACTATCTCCGAGTCCGATCGGCAACGGACATCCTATCCCCGTCGGCCCGACAAGGTCATACGCTATGACACACCGGCCTTCACTTCTCCACCAAAGTCCCCTAGACACTAGCAACCGCCGTAGCACAGTCGCTTATATAACGCCTGGTCTGTGTGCTGCCTGACTAGTATATAAGGAGCCCCTTTGTTGCTACCTAGCCCCATCTCAACCTCTTGGTTAATTGGGCTAGGTAAGCCTTTGTTTGTATCGTAGTACAGTCACTAATATTACTTGGTTAATTGGGCTAGCTGAACAAGCTAACGCATAGTCGCCAGACCTCGTCGGCCCCGCCTTCTGATTAGATCCACGCAGTATCCCTTGTGGTGTGTTGACGCAAGTCCACATCAGGACTCAAATTTCACCTCCAAATTCTGGCGAGAAGTTCACTGAATTCTTGGTATCAAGCTTCTGATGTTCACGGCCTTCCACCCTCAGACCGATGGCGCAACCAAATGAGTAAATTGTTCGGTTACACAGATCCTTAGGGGAGTCATCCTACCTGACCAGTCTGATTGGGTTAAGTACATACCGATGGTCGAGTTCCCCGCTTTCATCTCAACTCTCTCCCTCTCCCCACGACAAGAACACCTGCGGGATACGCAAGTGTTCTTGACACCGTATATCAACTGCAAATAATCTCAACCAACCAAATGGCCGAAAAAGAAGACTTTCCCATGGGAGGCGAGCAGGAACATGACCAATCGCGCTATGGTCGAACCACTGGTTGCCCCGACACCGACAAGCAGTCGGTGAACAAGGCCTCGGTAGCTTCCGACTCCAGGAAGTGTCGCCGGGGTCAAGACCCTGACAGTGACCTCCACTGGGTCTGTGACCTGCAGACTGGTGTTATTCAACACCCTGTGGGATGCGCTCAATGTGACGACTTCATGCATCACCAGCAACTCGGCAGGGCAGACCCGAGCTTTTGCGAGGCTGCCGCGGCGCAGCTAAGCCACATGCACGGTGCTAACAATCCTCCTGTGCGACAGCAGGAGGATCATTTGGGGTAGGAAGACCGGCTGCGCTGGGTGTGCAATGAAGCCCAGGAAGCCCGCAGGAAAGTTGAGAAGGAGAACTCTCAACTCTCCTCTTCTCTGCAGAAGGCTCGCGAAACCAAAAACTGGTTTTGCAAGCAGCTAAGAACACTCGACTCCACCCTTTGAGAGGTCTGAGAAGAGAAGGCTGAATCTGACGACGTATTTCAGCGTATTAGTCAAGAAGCGGTTGACCTGGAGAATGTCCTCTGCCACCACAAGATTCCTCTGCCCACTTCTCAGGCACATCCACTGCCTGTGTCTTCTTCCCAAACGCCCGCAAACCAAGCACCTCTAGTTACACCACTTGGTGCACCAGAGCCACCTTTGGACCATGCGTGTTCCTACGTGCCACAGGCAATGGAGCTCAACTATGGCAATTCAGAGTCATCATTGTCTGCCAAGGGTGATGATGCTCAACAAGGCCCGGCGGCAGAAAAGTGGCCTGCTAGGAAGTTTGGTTCCTATCCGACAAAGACGGGAAGGCCCACGATCGAAGGGTCGGGATACAGCGCCGACGAGTTCAACAAATTCAATCCCAAACCCACTGAATCTGAGCTGGAGGATGCCACTCCTGCGCAGAAGAACCTATGGCAGGCTTGCAATCTCAAACAGAGGAAGCGCAACGAGCAGCGAGCTGCCGTCTCGACAAAGCCTCTCGCAATTACCCCTTGGGAGCAGAGCATGAATCATGCCAAATACGCCCTGAATGTCATCAAGAGGTACAAAGGAGAGTACTCCGCTATCCGTAATCCTCTCCATTGGAACAATCACAAGGGTCGCAACTGGATGAGGTGGGGCTATTATGCCAACCACCACATCAAGTACCTCGACAAGCAGCGAAAGCTGCACAAATATTGCGGGGTTCCTGCAGGGATATCCATTCCACCATGAAACGACCGGTCTGTGCCACCGTTTGTTCTGCCTGTCTGGCCGCACACGGATTGCCCAGATTCTGACGCGCACTCTGTTCTTGCACCACTGGCTCCCACTACTGCCTCGGTCTCTGCTGATGTGCCACTGGCCCCAGCTCATGCACGTAGAACCTTGTTCTAACATGCCCCTGCGTCTATTCACTCTGAACTCAACCCACCCAGGCCCCCACGGCCGCTTAATCTGGGTTTCAGGGCGGGCATTGATTCTTGGAGGGAGAGGAGTGAAGGAACGTCGAACATGCCTAGCACACTATGGCCCATACCCACACCATGCTCAGACCATGAGCCAGGGCTCGACTTCCTCCGCAATGACCTCACAAGCACAGAGGAAATCACATCTTTCAATCAACTCCGCTTTCTGCATAATGCGGCTGAAGTTGATCACCTCTGCGCAGAAGCCAATTGACAGCCACAACTCCTAGCCTGCGACTTCTGGAGAGCTTGGTTGCACATGTGCAATAAAGGCCACGCACTCAAGCAACATACTCTCAGTATCGATTGGCACAAGACATCATGGTACAAAGAGGCAAAGTGCAAAAAGCATGAGGCCCTGCTAAGGCGGAAGCGTGAGCAAAACCAAGCTCAGGCTGTAGCTGCCGAAGGGTCAGGCAAGAATACTCTGACAGGCACCACCGATGCCATTGTCGACAAGGACATGAAGATGAATGATTCCGAAAATATTCAGAACCATCCTCAGGAGCCCAACCTGAGCGACCATGTCTCAGAAGAAGACGTGCCTATGACTGGAGAAAACGCGCCCCAAGAGTCAATGTGTCTCTTGACCACTGGCTTATACGCTCTCTTCACGGACCCCCCGTATTCAGTATTTACAATGTCGAACAGTGGAGACTGTTCCTTCGCAAGCACCTGGAATACCACCTTCCAGGGGTACTCCATGGCAAAGAAAGTGAGCCATCGCACATACACCTTTGTAGGCTGTTGCAGGTGGCCGAACTGAGTCCTATGAGTGACTCCGCTGAGTTAGCCATGCAATGGCTTGACTTGGTCACCCCCGCCCAGCGCAGCACTCATGTCGTGTCAAGAATCAGAGCTATCTCAGAGACTACTGCATTTCCAGTAGGCTCTGAGATGACACCGTCCACCGTAGAGGAATTCTTTGGTACCCTAACCACTGCATTCCCTTCTGACCAAGTGCAAAGTGCAGGCTGTGGATGACATCCATGCCTGGGCAACGGAGATAGACCTAGAGACTTTATTGTCTCTGGGTTCTTCCATATCCTCCTTGTTGATTGCTGGCCAAGTATCAGACGGTAATCTAGAGCTCATTGACTATGAGGACAATGCTGCAGATCCATTGAGCGTCCCTTGACCTCACTTGATAATGCCTGAAGACAAAGCCACAGAGTCACTGAGCATTCCTCATCTTCACTCGAGCGTGCTCTAGTCTTGTTTTTGTCTTTGTCAGCCTGGCAACTTCAACTTGCGGGGGCAGGTGTAAGGCACACGACTATTTACTGTAGACACCTTCCTTTTTTGTAACTTGGTGCTCTCGTTGATTGGAAACACATCCTCCTTGTGCTCGCTCATGTATTTGTTATTAGGTAGCATCTTGGCCTGATATAAGGTTGGGATGCCTCTCAGTTTCAGGCTCAGACTTTACTTTTACCCCACTGTTGTAGCTACTCTTTGCGTATACAATGCGATCTGGCTCTTGCAGGGTGATTTCTAAGTCTACATCCTTATAGGTCTTACAACTGGCGTTCTTGATGAAGCATATAGCAGTAGCAGCATATATGAACACTCTGTTAGAGAGCTTGACTAGTCGCACCACCCATTCTGCTGTAGGCCAAGACCTGTCCAAGCTGTATCTTTCCCGGATGTCGGCCATCTTCTTCTGCAGGAAGATCTCAATGTCACGCTCGGTAGTGTCTGGCAGCACCTCATGGAGAATGATGTGCTGTGTCGCATTGAGTAGGCCGGTTGAATGAAAGCCATAAGTAATGTTCAGGACAGGGCAGCTGGTCAAAAAAATCTTCAAGGGAGCCAGGCCAGAGACATAGTCTGACAGCACCCAAACAATGAGAGATGTCATCTTAGCATCCTTACACTTGTCTAGTGCATCAATGATGACTGCACAATCTGGGAATGTTGGCAGCTCTTGGAGTGGGTCAATGATCAAACGCTTGAGCTAGTGGGAGACAAGAGATGTCTGGATGTCGGGGTCCTGCCTCATGACCTCTGCAATCTTCTCCTGGAATCTGCAGTCACGCAGACCAAGCTGGTAGGCAATTGTAGGGAATATCATTTGAATATCACTGCATTCTTGGTTGTCCCTAGAACAGAAGAAGCTTGCGCCAAGGTACCCGAGCTCTGAGCACCATGCCGCCACGGTCTGTGCGATGGTCAACTTGCCCGATCTGGCCTGGCTGGTAAGCAAGAACAGTTGTGCGTCTACCCTTGGTGGCTGCAGAATGTCCTCGGGTATCTGTCCTCCAGCCTGGTTCAGGAGGAACCAGTAGTAGATGGTGTTCAGAGTCTCCGATCGTGTTTGTCCCTCGCAGGTAGCGCGTTGGCTAGGGTGGTCAAAATGGGCAGCAGCGGCGTAACGCAGAATAGGGCCTACAATTGATTGGACACTGGAGTCAGATCGTGCGATTGAACGTGAAGTGACAATGCCTACCAATGAATGCTGAACTCTTATCGGGCCGCATGTCGACCTTGTTGAGGCAACTTAATATCTCCTGCAATTGTTAATTGGGTCGTGCGTATGTGCAGGAACTTTATACAACTACTGGATGCCTTTCCACAGCTGTCTACAGAGCTTTGTAGACCAGGTTCCAGAATAAATCGGACACTGCAGCTCAGCAGATCTTACTTACCGTAGTTTTGGTCTGAACAGCTGCGTTTACAGACTCGAAATCTGGAAGGGGGGTCAGACTCCCCTTACAGACTAGCTTCTACATTTACAGACATGGTTTCAAACTCTGCATGCACTGTTGCGCCTGTTCCTCTGCTTACGCCGCTCTCCATCTTGCTAGATATTTACAGTGACCTTGTAAAATGGGGCCTATGATGTCGTCTGTCACATTTGGGTGAAATTGAGATCAATGTAGGTATGTGGTGAGCCCCTCGACACCCAATGCATGTATACAGCATGATTGGCTGGTGACCAAAAGTGATGCCGCCACAACAACGGTCTCTCAGAACACTTCATCAGCGGCGGACTCGTTCTCGCCTTCCAACTACTGTCAGAGGAATGTTATGTCAGGTTCTATAAGCGATAGTCAGAGCGAACGCATCCACTCAAGTGTGTCGACCCCAGTCGGACTTTCAAACTCCATTTACAAAACAAAATATTACATTTCTTCGCTCTCGGTTGCTGTGGTTTTATAGACTGGTACCATTAGATTCTAAACTGCATTTTGCACTCCGCACTACACTCTAAAATCTGAAAAAACCCTGTGGAAAGGCATCCACTCACGTTAACACCAACCTCGACATTCATTATCCCCCCAATCTGTGCACGATAATAGTGAATATTACAGCATCTCTACTTTCGTAAGTCAGACTCACCAGGAACACCTCGAAGGCCCGAGAGATCTTTGTGATGTGTTCGTCTATGATCCCAGCATGCATATCCGACCTGAACAATCACCTGAGTTTGGAGCAGGAGGCCAACTTGCGGATCTCCTTTGTTGTCTCATTCAGCTGCCTGCGCGAAAGTGAGTATGCCGGATGAATCGATCAAACTGAACAATGATCTCACCTCTCGAGGATGTCAATACACCGGCGCAAATCTTCTGGGCACGCCTTCTCATTCTTGAAGATAGGATTTTGAAGAGTGGTGAACAGTTGACTGGCATATTGTTCTAGGAGCTCGGACCAACAATCCAACTGGACTGGGCTACGACAACGCTGAGAAGACAGACAAGAGGAATGTAGGTGAGGAAAGACCAGCTCAAGTCTGGCTTGTCATTGAGCAGAACGAGCCCCTTATATACATGCTAGACTCACTACCTAGAATATACTACGAATATAGGGAGACATGTAGAAAGTGAAAGAATACTATGGAATCTGGGAGAACCATCTGCAGTATTCATGACATTATTCCCCTCTCTAGAATCATGTCCTCACAATTATTTACCAGTAGAACTGAAGCCTACTTTTCCACGCTTAGTTTCTGACAGATTTGACACCTCCTCAATATTGCATGACGCAATGCATTCCAGAACCACTTGAGCGATTTGATTGCCGGCGTGTACTTGAAATGGTTGATTGGTGGTGTTGATCATCACCATGTGTAATTCTCTGGTGTAGTCACGATCTACAACTCCAGTGCCAATGTTGATTCCTTTAACTGCTAATCCACTTCACGGTGCAATTCGTGTGTAGGTTCCATGAGGGGCACGCATTGCAATGCCGGTGCCAACAATCTTGTGACTTTGTGCCGGTATCTTAACGCTCTTGGCCAAGTAAAGATCGAGGCCAGCAGCTTCTTCTGATCCGTACTTTGAATTTGCCCCATCCGTTGTACCAAAAGAGGGGTGTTGCGTGTGAGCATGTGAACAGGTCATGTGAGGAGAGGAGGAATACAAATTGTCATAGGCGCGGGTTTGTCCAGACGTCTCGCATGGAAATCTTGGAGAAGTTCTTGACAGTTGGTCAAGTCCACAATTCCCAGGAGTGGCAATCACCATGAAGGCTATGCTTCCAAAGAACTTGATACTCGAGATTTCCGTTTCAACCACGACAGGAATCAAAAATTTCTTCTACTTCCCATTCTTCCTTGCCATTTACGAGATCTGGAATCTCAAGTTTGTGTCGCTGTGAGGGATACGCGGATTCTTTGAAGGGACTAAGCAGGCTTTCATTGAAAACAGGGTGTTGTTTCCATTGACGCGGAAGTTCTAATTTGTAGGCAGAAGCACCAATTTTGCGTTTGACCTTGAACAGTCTGTAATGCTTGTCGTCAAGCTTCTTCATAGGCCTATCGGTTTGAATGTTAACTCCTTCTAGCCAAACTTTGTCTCCGGCCTTGTATTCCAGTCCGCTCGTCCGTTTTCTATCATAGAAGTGCTTCATAGATTCTTGCGCTAGTTCAATAGCCGCACTGGTGTCCTCACGTATTTGATCTATTTGATCAACAAATTATTGGACACTTTCGCTCAGCCCTTCTTGTACTGGCTGAGTTCCTTCATGAGGGTGATACTCTTTATTAACAAAGAAGGGAGTGTATCCGGTGGAGGAGTGGACCTTGTTATTGTACGAAAAGGCTGCAAGCAGCAGCCATTTGGCCCAATCTGATTGTCTATAGTTGATGAATAGTTGGAGATATTGTTCCATCTCATGGTTGACACGTTCTGTTTGTCCATCTGTCTGGGGGTGATACGCAGTCGAGGGATTGGCTTTGATCCCGAGCGATCAGTATAGCTCGGAAATGAACTGGTTTTTGAATTCAGTGCCTCTGTCACTGATGATCTTTCAGAGTAATCCATGGTGTGCAACCACATGATTATGAAGCGCTTTCGCCCATTCCTCGGCATTAAGTTCAATGGTACTTGATATTGTGATTATCTGCTTGGAGTACATGCAGATGACCACTAGAATAGCATTATATCCAAAGGACTCCGGTAATATACCTATTTTATCTACAGAGATTACCTCTCAGGGTCGCGTGGGGATTTCATTAGGAAATAGAAGTCCTGTGGGTCGTGTCATGTGAACCTTGGTCTTCTGACATTTCTCGCACCTGGCTACATATTTCCAGATGTCTTCACAAATTCTAGGCCACCAGTAGTCACGTGTGACTATTTCGTGTGTTTTGTATTGACCAGAATGTCTGGCCAACGGAGTATCATGGTGATGAGCAATAATCCACTCTCAGAGTTTTCTGTTTACTGGTACGTAATATGATTCTTCTACGTCACGAGTCCAGTACTATCTTCATTCCAGTCCTTATCTTTATTCTGTAGAGCCACAGTAACTAGCAAATCTTGGTTCTTTTTATATTTTTTAATTTCTGCAACCCAGTCCTGGTCGACTCCTTCTAGACTAAATACTGTACTACAGATCAGAGCATGGAAATGTTCTGGTTTTAATAATATAATGTCTGAATTGTCCTCTTTCCCTGCATTGTGTCTCTTTTGCCAAGACAACCTGTCAGCTTTGCCATTAGATTTTCTGGGTTTATGATGTAGTGAGTAATGATACTCAGCCAACTTGGTTACCCATCGAACCTGGTGCCGATTAAGCTTCTGTGGCTTCCAGAAGTATTCTAAGTTCTTGTGATCTGCCCATATTTCAAACAGATGCCAGGCGCCCATGAGGTACTGGCGCCACTCGTTAAGACTAGTCATTATTGTGAGAAGTTCCTTGTCGTAAATCTTGTAATTTCTTTTGGTAGCTGTCATAGCCTTTGATAGATAAGCGACAGGTTTCCATTTGCCGTCTTGCTTCTGGGCTAACTCTGATCTGATGGCAAAGTCTGAAGCATCACATTCTACTCGATATAGATCGTCATCATTGGGTATGGCCAATACTGGTGCCAAACAAAGGGCGTCTTTCAGGCTTGTGAACGCGACTTCTTGTTCAATGGTCCATTCGAAGGTGGCATTGCCTGTTAATGAACTGAGCGGCTTAGCTATCTTGCCATAATCTTTGATGAACCTTCGATAGAAGTTGGTGAAGCTGAGGTTTACACTTGGGCCGAGGCCAATTGACAACTTCTTCTACTTTGACGGGATCCATGCAAATGACCCCTTTTCCTACTATCATCCCGAGGTATTCTACTTCCGTCTTCTCGAACTTGCACTTTTCTGATTTCAGATAAAGTTTGTGTTCCCTCAAGATCTGTAAGACTTGCCACTTGATCCGGCAGTGTTCTTTTAAATCTTGGGTGAAGATCATGATGTCGTCTAAACAGACTACCACATGTCTTTGACTGATGAGATCTCAGAATATATCGTTCATCATAGTCTAAAACGTAGCCGGGGAATTGGTGAGGCCAAAGAACATGACTAGTGGTTCAAACAGTCCTTGATTGGTAAGGAATGTGGCTTTTGCTTCATCGCCTTCTTTGATGTGGATATTGTTGTATCTCCATCGAACATCTAACTTTGTAAAGTACTGCACCCACTTCAGCTTATCTACTAGTTCTTGTATTAGAGGAAGCAGATAGTGGTTCTTGATTGTCAGCTCATTTAGCTTTTGATAATCTTGTACTGGTCGAAGACGTCCATCTTTCTTTTTGACAAAGAAGAAGGGAAAAGCCCAGAGGAACTTGGAAGGTCGGATTCTTCCAGTTCTAAGGTTTTCTTTGATGAACTCATCAAGTTCTTTCTGTTCATTAACAGATATTGGATAAACCTTGCAGCTGACTGGTTGTGCACCCGGTGTCAGCTCGATTGCATGATCCCATGGTCGCCTTTGCGGTAGGGAGTTGAAATCTTCTTTACTGAACACATCAAAGTAGTCGTGATAATGGCTTGGAACCATATTTTCAAAGGTTTTAGCCTTGTGTTTCAGACTTTCTTTTATTGCTAGATCTGTGGCCATAGTGCGAATACATGCCACTTCTGTAGTGAAATAGGTTTCGTGATCTAAAATGAAGATTCTATCTCCCTCTTCAAGGCAAGCCTCTGGATCACTGGGTACTTCGTGATCTTGTTCAATATCAATCAATCAGGCGGCGTATTTACAGGTCACCGGACAACGATCAAAATGAATAGTTTGCTTCTGCCAGTCGATTGATGGGTTGTGGATCTGGGGTCATTCATATCCTAGGAAGATGGGGGTCTTTCCCAGATTGGTAACAGCAAAGGGAAGCCGCTCAATGTGATCCTGAATTTCTACCCGTAGTTTAACAAAGTCTGTGATGGCGCCGCCGGCATTATGCGTGCCATCAGCATTGTGGACAGGGATCAGGAATGGTAGCTTCTTTGTAGCGATGTTGTTATCGCGGACAAACTGTGCATCAATAGATGAACCTGTGCACCCTGTGTCTAGCAGCACTTTGACTGATAAACACTGTTGTGTATCTAGGGTAGTGACAATCATGGGAACGTCCATCTGTGTCCCTTTCCTTTCTCGGATGAAGCGAGGCTGCTTTCGTGACTCATTCAGGAAGTCGATTGCTTCCTCTTCCTTCATTTGCCTGATTTGTTCCATACAGGCTTCTGAGGCATCAACACTCTTCTTTGGATGTACTCATTCAGTCAGCAATCTAAGCGCCAATGCTTCTTGGCTAACTATCCATTGGCGGATCCATACCGCTATCCACAGGGTGTGGCACTGCCACTGCATAGTTTCAGTCTGTGTTTCTGATTTAGGAGATATATTTTTGTTCGGGGAAATTAAGCAAGAGGGTTGTGCCTCTCCATGCTGCTTTGCGGACGCCCCTTTTTATGATATATACATGGGTACTCTGAACCAGGAACACAGATAATTCATAAAGTTAATCTCGGTCAACTCGGCTACACCTCTGGCTGACCGCTTGCAAAACTCTTCAATGCCGCATGAATCTCTTTGCAAATTGCTGTCTTCCAATTGAATGGTTCTGCCGTCACGGCAGGCACTTCGGTGAGTGGTGCGAGCAGTACAAAACTGTTGACAATCAGAGTCGTTGATGCTTCCACTACCTGTATCTGTTGGGCTTGCTGCCTGTTAGGGCAGTTTCATGATAAGTGACCCTTTTGGCCACATCAGAAGCAAAGACCCAGGCGTCGCACCTGATCTAACTCCATCGGCTGACCTCTACTGCCAAATGTCACATCGGTTCCGTCCTGGCGCATCTGGACCATGGGGGTCGTTGTCATTGGTGCAGCTACGCTAGCCTGCGCTCGTGGTGGATTCTGCGACTGTGATTGTCGTGGCTGGAATTGTCCCTGTCACTGGGGTTGAGGGTTACGTCTACGATACTGCTGCTAGTTTAGGTTGATGTGAGTGACCCGTTGCTTGTAGAGCTTGTAGGTGGTCGGGAGTGCTTCTGATGAATTGTATAGGAGTCGAATGATGTCGGCCCAAAGCGCCATTTCCAGGAGTGACTTTAGTTCCTGGAAGTGCTTCTCGAAGTCGTGAATGTTCACCTGGAAGGCGCACAATTCAAACTTGGAGAAGAATTCTTGTGCTGTCAGCGTCCCCATCTGCATTGCCTGCAACCAATCATATGCCTCCACTGCTTCATTGATTAGGAAGTGTTTATCCAGATCTTCCCACAGTGCTGTTGTGGTCCGGATCACCATATCTTCATTGGTGTCGTACTTTTTCATGTACGTGGTGACATATTTGCCAGCGTGTCCTCCTTTCATGTAAGACAGAATCATGAGAACCCTGTCAAACTGCTCTAGTAGCCGCTTCCTTTGTGTTATCACATAGAGCTTCATTTGAGTTTTCCAAGCAATATACTTGGATTTCATGCCGTTAAAGGCATCTGGCTTCATTGCGCTTCCATTGTCGGCATTGTCTTGGTTCTCAGCCATCGCACTGGGATCTGATGGAGAGGATGGGGGGAGAGGAGAGTATTGGGCTGGCGGAGCTAGTGGTTCTTCTTCAGAATCTTCCAAAGCATCTTCTACAGGTTGTTCTAGTGGACCTTTGGCTGGTACTTCTGTTTCTCCTAGGGCAATTGAGCGGAGCTGGGCAGTAACCGAATCAAGGGTATCACATCTTTCTCTGGGTTCTGAGCCAGACGCTACTGATTCGGTGGCAAAAAGGGACTCTGCCGGTTCTTCAAGGCCAACTCCTGCTACTTCTCCAGATAGACCTTCGTCACACCACGGGCAACAAGCATGATTGTTTGGGGAATGTGGGCACAGCTGCTGCGCACAGTATTGTAGGATTTCATTACGCTTAGTGACGTGCTTCCTATTTTGTACGTGGTGGATATATTCTCTGCAGTCACAAGAGAGTCTGATGGTCATATGCTATCGAATCTGTGAAGCTTGTTGCAGCAACTCTGGGACTAATTGTGTTGGAACAACCAGATCAGAGGTAGAAGTTGTCAGAGAGGGAAACAGGTGGGGCGAAAACTCAAGAAAGGTACCGAAACACTATTTTTAATACAGTTCTAGGAATACTATAGCAGCCCAAAGAGCAATTATGTCTCTTCAGTCTGACGCCCGGAAAGGGATCGTCAATCTAACTGCTATCGCTTTTCCAACACCTGGCTGCAACCGGTTGCCACGTCGTACTCAGGAATATCTGCTTGCACTGCGCAAAGTGTGTAACACTGCCTATGGTAGGGCAGAGTACGATTCTAATTGGATGGTGCTCTGTCCAGCTGCCTAAAAGCTGGTGATTACAGAGGTGACTTCGGGGGTATGAGATGGTAAAATGTGCAAGTGCACCGAGAAGGGTTCCAGGAGTCTTGATGCGGTAGAGTCAGTAGGGTTAGGTTTTAGGGTGAGAGTTGAACGTGTATCGGTTGGATCGTCGTGTGGAGATGGGTGATGGTTGGTGTGGGAGTGACGAGGATAGTCGCAGGGCAGTTAGAGGAGACTCGAGCTAATGTCAGCAACTAACAATCCAACTGGACTGAGCTATGATAATGCTGAGGAGACAGACGAGAGGAAAGTGAGTGAGGAAAGACCAGCTCGAGTCTGGCTTGTAATTGAGCAGAATGAGCTCCTTATATACATGTCAGACCCAATATCTAGAGTATACTACGAATATACGGAGATGTATAGAAAGTGAAAGAATAACATGGAATCCGGGAGAACCATCCGGAGTATTCATGACAGCACGGCAGGCGAGCCGGCGTTACGACCCGATGGTGATGGCGCGTCTGATGGCATTGATCGGACAACGTGCCCGATGCCACGTCGCGCCGCCCACGATCTCTCAAGACATCCACGGCGACAACCCTCGCCCAAATCGCCTTACAAGCAGCAAGGACATGCCGCCCTCGCCGTCCTATGCGTCTCGTCGGCACGATCAATGCTGAAGAAAGCCACGCCGTGGTGTTCCAGTCGGGCAAGGACTTCCCTGGAATGCCGTAGCGGCTATCTGCAATGACCACCGTTGAGGCTGCCATAGACGTGTGCTCGCGGCAGCCCGCTGTCCTTATCGTGTACACGCCGTCGGACCGCCGGCTCTGAGAAGGACAAGAACGTGCCAAATGATAGTCAGGGAGCGACCCCCGCCCTGATGCCGGCGACTAGTCCTGCGAGTACGCCGAACGACGGTAAGTCTATCTTTCCACTGGTCATATCGAGTACGACTGAAGTTACTGACTGCCTTCGCAGATAAGACCACGGTCTCATGCACCTCGACACGGCTGTTGAATGCCTCACGAGCTCGATCTTTCCTGACGGCTGAGCGCGTGTGGACGACGGTTGCAATCTCGTCGCCGTCTTCACCACCGACATCATTCTCGCGATGCTGCCGTGTCGACTGACGCGAGTAGTGCCTTCCTCACACAAGACCGCTCGGACATCCAATAAATCGCCGCTCAAGGCCTACGCCCGGCATCTGCGACGAACGGAAACGAGCCGTCAGCGTCGCAAGCGTTGGGACGAGCAAGGGCGAGGACAGGGCGGGAGACGGACAAACGCATAATTCAAAGGCTGGGCACGAAGCGAGATCTGCAGGGAGAAGGACAAGCCCGTCGATGCACGCGGAAGGCAAGGCACCGGATCGCGTCCTCCCGCTCGTCCCCGACGAAGGCCAGCCCTACCCCCGAATGCGTGCCGCTACTACTTTGGCACTGCTACCCTCAGGTTCGCTCCGTCTGCCAGCGATGATGGTCGCCCTTGCGCTGCACCAACCCGTGGCCGCGTCGCAGGGCGAGTCGAGCTTCAAGCTAGAGGTCAGGCCGAGGAGCTTATCGAGGACCTCCGATGGCTGGTGGGCGGACGAGCCGAACAACAAGATAAATTTCTTCATGACGGTTGACATCATCGACGTCTTGTCCCTATCGCTCATCCCCAAATCGCACCTGCGTTTGCACCCGACACTCGCCGCAAAACAACTTCTAGCCGCCGTTTTCGCGCGTTGCCTGTGCCTTCACGCGATGACCTGGCCTGCAGAGCACTGTTTCAATCGGAGCGAACGTCTGGACGACGGGTTCAAGGCACTGCGAGTGGCGCCTTCGGTGCTGCGCTCGCCCCTCGACTTCGAAGCACTCGCCGCCGCTGTTGCTTCCCCCACGCCATTGGACGCTCGCTGACACTGCATCACCGATCTTCTGACGAATCGGTGGAAGGGCTCGGCTCGGCGTCTTTGTCGCAGAGCACGCCGGCGAACGCCTCCTTTATGAGCATCGGGCTTAAAGTTGGGAGGACGGGCGGTCGAGCTCGCCATTTGATTGAGGACGATTATTTGCAGCTTCTACCCTTCTGTGTTTTCCGGCCTGCTGATTTGATTGTCCCCTTCTTGGGGTTGTTCATGCATTTCTACGTAATGCGATACGCAAGCTTAGCCATAGCAAAATGATTATATGCCCCATCACCCCTCAGCAAGTGCGAGGCAAGCAAGGAGTCATGTCCAAGATGACAACCCGACCAGCCTCTGTACCAAAGGCTACAACATTACGATGCACTGCTACGGATCCTCGAAGATCTATCCGGTGCCTGCGCACAAGTCGGAAGGCGGCCGGAACCCAGCACAGCCTCCGCCTCTCGGTAGCAGACACATGCCACAGCCAGTGATCGGCTAAGCAGAATGCGTGGTCCGGACTGTCGTCCTGCGAGGCCGAGCGGGGCCGGTGGTGGGGCGAGATGACACCCATGGTGGCGTCCGTGATGAAGGATGTCTCAGTAGACGAGAACACGATGTTCTCCGCGTAGTCCCCACCGTCATAGCAATCCAGGAAGGTCGCTTCCAGTGTGGTGTCAACGGCCGCCGGACTGACTCGACTCCCTGCATGGATGCCCCAAAGAGTAACGGTAGGCTTCACTATACCGTCACCGGAGGCAACCAGGAGGCGGCTGCCGTCCTTGGAAAATGCGAGTGCTGTGGGCACGCCGTACGCACGCTCATACCGCACCAAGCGGACCGCTTGTGGCGTCGTCAGGCTGACTAGCCCAAGTGTATGGTCATCTGGTTTGTCGCTCCAGCAGCCAAATGCCACCAGGCCGGCGTCAGGAGAGACAGCAACCGAGAATATATTGAGGCTTCGGTCTTGGTAGACGACGCGCGATTCCGCGCTGCGCGTCCTCGACTGACCGACCTCCCAGACACGGATGCTGTGATCGCTGTATGAGCACGAGACCACTCGTCTCTCGTCCGGGAAAAATTTCGCCATCTCTACACAGCCTTCGTGCCCGTTGAACGTCTGTTCGCAACGACCGCTCTCCACATCCCACAGACGAAGAGTGCCAGCCTCGGATACGTCGGCCTTGCGCTCTGACGAGAGCAGCGTCTTTCCATCGGGAGAGAACGATAGGTATGAGACAATGCCTTTATGACCTTCAAGTACTTGCAACTGAGCGCCGCTCGCAGTATCCCATAGGCGAATCGTAGTGTCTCGTGACCCGGTGGCAACGATGTGTCCGTCAGGTGAGAACGTCGCGGAGCGCACATTCGACGAATGTTGAGGCTCGGCACCAGCACTCCTGTGCATGCCCGACCCCCGGCCCCGGGTCAATCTCTCCTTCAGCTTCTTCCTCGCGGACTCGCCCTCCCTCCCGGCCGACAACAGAGACAGGTCCCAGATCCGGATGTTATGGTCCCTGCCACAGCTGACTATCTGCTGGCCGTCGGGGGAGTATCTGAGGCTGAACACCTCGTCGGAGTGCCCTTTCAAAGTGCGGAGGGTGGAACCGCTCGCCACATCCCACAGGATGATGGTATTGTCTGCTGAGCCTGATGCAAGTGTGGCGCCATCAGGAGAAAAGTCGAGAGACCACACCCTTGATGTGTGGCCTTGGAGTGTGCGGAAGCAGCGGCCGTCAGCAGTGGTATGTAAAAGAATGTCCTTGGCTGGGAATCCTTGTCCCGAAGCAAAGATGGCTTCGTCGGGCGAGATGGCGACGGAAAGTATGGAGGTATGTTCAGGATGGGTGAATTGTGCAACACACGTCCAAGCGCCTGATCTCCAGACCTTGCATGCACCGTCCTGGCTGCACGAAACCAGCAGTGATCCAGATCGGGAGAACCTGACACTTTTGACATCAGATGTGTGTGCGGGAGACAGGGTCCTGGATGAGCCGATGTCGTTGTTGAGGTCCCAAATTCGTATCGAGTGGTCATTGGAGCTGGAGGCGAGAACCGTGGCATCTCTGTCTAGAGAGAAGTCTACAGCCGTGACATGATCAGTGTGACCTGTCAGAGTGTGGAGGTGTTGGCCGATAGCGGCATCCCAAATAATGATGGTCTTGTCGTTAGAGCCCGAAGCAATGTATTTACCATCGGATGAGAATGCCACACATCGGATTGCATCCTTATGTCCTTCTAAGGTGTGCAGATGGGAGCCTGTGACAGCATCCCACAGCTTGACTGTCTTGCCTCCAGATGCCGAGACAATGCGCTGGCCATTAGGTGAGAAACACACGGCCATTACGGAATTTGAATGGCCTTCGATAGTGAGGGTGCATGGGTCCCAATGCTGCTGGAGTCCACTGAGTACCCTTGGCTGTCCAATCCCTTGCCCGGCCCCAGAGTAATGCTCTCGGAGCTTGCAGGATGTGGGACAGAAAGGGACAAGGCCAGAATACGCTTGTAGACAAGAAGTGCTGAGGCCTGGAAATGACTGCTGTATGGCTTGTTGGCAATTATATAGCAATGTGATGACGTTGGAGTGTGGAAGAGGTAAGTCCTGGTGTAGGAATGTGATTAGTGATGACATCGATGAGAGTGGAGCCGGTACATACCAATAACCTTTCACGGAGTGTCTGTAGTGCTGAGACAGCACTGCCTAATTCCCCAAGGAGGCTCAAAACCTCCAGCCAGTTCAGCAAGTAGCTCTCACTAAACTTGGTGAGGAAGTCAAGTAGCTCGTTGTCGACTTCGCCACAGAGTGCATGGTGTGCCCAGTGAAGAGAGGCGTACTGCAGGGATGAAGAAATGTGCTCCGCCACAAGCTCCGGAAGCCTAGGCACCTCTGAGTTTGGCATGCTTCGCCCAATGTTGCAGATATCCATCTGCAACTCGCCGATCATGATCTCGAGGCACCGCTGGGCAATGAGTCTATGCTGGATCGCCGGGTTGATCAACAAATCGGAGTCGTGGCATCGGTCTCCGTCAGTGAGGAAGTCATGGAATGAAGGGTGGATGAGGCTGATGACAGCATTATCATCTTCGGGAACTACGACGACCGACTGCAGGTGAGTCAGCGTAGTCCGAGTCATTCCACGCTTGAGGAGCATGAGTCTGTCAATGGCATTCGGCGACAATCGATCACGGATGAGGACGAGTGCGCCCAGGACAACCTTCAACCGCAGCTTAAGCTCTCGGGTAATGTCCGGATGCGCACTCTTCAGAACTTGGAGATACAGCTTGTCTAGCTGGTAGAAGGAGACTGCCTCGCTCACCGATGACATTCCTTTGCCTTCAAGGAGTGATCGAAGGCGACCATCTGGGTCACTGGCATTGGCATCCTCGATGAAGCGTATGACGGTAGCGGCATATATGAACAACCTGCTCGAGAGCTCGACTAGTCGCGCCGCCTGTTCTGCCGAAGGCCACGACCTGTCCAAGGAATATCTCTCCCGGACATCAGCCATCTTCTTTTGCAGGAAGATGCCAATGTCGCGCTCGGTGGTATCTGGTGGCACCTCATGGAGGATGATGTGCTGTGTCGCGTTGAGTAGGCCGGTTGAGCGGAAGCCATGGGTAATGTTCGGGACAGGGCGGCTCGTCAGAAAAATCTTCAAGGGAGTGAGGTCGGAGACATGCTCTGACAGAGCGCGGACAATGAGAGACGTCGCCTGGTCGTCTTTGCACTCGTCCAATGCATCAATGACGACCGCGCAGGGTGGGAATGCTGGCAACTCTCGCAGAGGGTCGACAATCAGACACTTGAGCTGATGGGACACAAGAGTCGTCTGGATATGAGGCTCCCGTCTCATGACCTCCGCGGTCTTCTCCCGGAATTCAGGAATAAACAGACCAAGCTGGTAGGCGATCGTGGGGAATATCATCTGGATATCACTGCATTCTCGGTTGTCCCTAGAACAGAAGAAGCTCGCGCCGAGGTACCCGCGCTCCGAGCACCATGCCGCCACAGTCTGTGCGATGGTCGACTTGCCGCTTCCGGCCACGCCGGTGAGCAAGAACACTGGCGCATCAGCTCTAGGCAGCTGCAGAACGACCTCAGGCATTCGCAGTTCAGCTTGATCCTGAAGGAACCATTGGTAGACGGTGTTCAAAGTCTCTGATCGTGTTTTACCTTCGCAGATGGAGCGTTGGTTGGGGTAATCAAAACGGGCGGCATCGACGTATCGGGGGATAGGACCGGCTATCGGACAAGGTCAGGCCATGCTGTTGAACAGGAAGCAGGAACACTTACAGCTGTCAGGTAACAATTGACTGCTTAACCCTCGGACTTCATCTGTCACGTTATCAAACCGTTGATCCATTCTGTCGAAACCCTTGTCCAGCTTCACGGATAGTTGCTAAAATATACTTGGTAAGCTTCGGATACGCATGATATAGTGTAGAGTCATGTACGTCAACAGCGAGCTCGAGGCTAATGGTTCCTCCGATCTACGCCAAATAGGTGGTGAATAAGCTTGAGATTTCTGCTCCTGCATGCCAGGCTTACCACGAAGTTGTTTATGGCCCAAGATATTTGTCTGATATGCTCGTCGATAACTCCGGCGTGCGAGTCTGAGCCAAGAAACCGGGACAACCTGGACCGAGAGACCAGCGCGCGGATCTTCTCCGTCGTTTCCGTCAACTGCCTGCAGGACTAAACAGCCTATTCACGAATACTACGGATCAGGTCTCACCTCTCTAAGGTGTCAATACGCCGCCGCAGATCCTCTGAACACGCTTTATCATCCTTGAAGGCAGGATGTTGCAGAGTGGAGGAGAGTTGTCTAGCATACTTCTCGAGCAGCTTGACTTGCTCGACGTTCGCTCCCATTTTCTGCAGGCAAAACAAATGAGATGGCAGCGCGCGGTGGCAGCAATCGGTCCACTCGCCTTCACGACATTCACGATACCGGCCACTCCTCCGATCGCGGACTGGAGCGGCGGAAATGCTGCCGTCGCGTCCTTGCCGACGGTGAGGGCAATCACCACGCCATCGAAGAGTATGTGGAGGTTCTCCTTACCCCCCGATCCTTTGCCGCTAGCGTTCAAGTTCATTCCGTATCTGCTGAGGGATGCGTTGTTGTCGTTTGAGGTTGAGCTACGTGTGAGAACCTGAGGCGAGCAAGCTATGCATGTGTGCCGCGCGTACATGTCCACATGCAGAGATGAACGTGAGCTTAACCTTGCCCTATTCGCCGGCAATCTCCTTGGGCGCATAGATATCCATCTTCCACCTACCTTACAAATCAATGGTAGACACGGCGAACTCGTGAAGGGATCGTAAAAACACATATCATAAATCAATCGCACATGCTCAGCAACAGCATCGACATCAGTGAGACTCGGCGAATAGCATCGATATATCTCAAGACCGCGGTATCAGTGTCCAAAGCAAGCTTAGAGACGGCACTTGAGTAACTCAAAGACGTGGATAGTTGCCGTCTGTGTGCTTTCATAAGCGTGTCACGACAGCATGACAGGAAAGGAAGCGTGTCCACATTAAGGCGCGGCGACATGTTCTTGACGTTCGAGTACGATACAGCTGTCCGGGGCCAGACGTCGTAGTGGGCGCAGCAACAGAGCAGGTGTTGGCGGAATTGCTCGAAATTAGGGTGCCGCCCAAGCTAGAGGCGAGTGATTGGCGATAGTTACTCCAGACGAACAGGCTCGTGCGCGCTTTGTTAGACGATCTCGGTGGGTGCAGAAGCAGCTTCGATGTAGCATGACGCTTCTTCGAAGGAGATGTGGAGGATGTCCGGGGATCGCCGCTGGCGCTCTAGCTGCCAACGCGATGTCGTTGAAAAAACCGCAGCAGCTCGTCGATGCAGGGGCACTGCCGTATATATAATGTGAGTGTAGGAAAGCTGGGAAATGGGTAAATGCGTACTCGTCGACAAAAGACACGAAACTTCGCTCCAGCCATAGCCGGCAACCCGCTTGCCGCACTCCGGTACGCGTTTGCTCGTGGCAGCGCGGTGTGGTCCGGTGCACGCTTTGATAAGCCGCCGCTCTGCAGAGCGATTGCGACGTCGGCGGCACGCAGAGGTTTCAAGAATAGTCCGTGAGGTTGTGTTCTGGTGCCTAGAACACGCGGAATGTCGATAATTCGGTGTGTGGGCGCGTAGGCTCTGAGCGAAAGTCAGTGTTGAGTTTCGCTCAGCCGATTTAGGCGCACCCGTCTGTTTTTCAGGAGCTTCATCCTGTCGCCACCGCATCCCTACTCCGTGCGCTCGAACGCCACGATGGAAGGCACCGTCGAACCTTCGCGCAGCTTCCGTTCCACCGCCCGCACTCCACCGCAGTCGCATTTGATGTTGCCTAGTGCGTCATGCGGCACGTTCTAGAGGGACAAGAACACGAGACACATGCCGAGGTCCTGGGCCAGGGCTACAAGCCACGCAGTCTGGGTCACAAATACGGAAGGCAGTAGGAACAGGATGTAGACCATGGCAGATGGAGCTATGGTACCGCTCGACGAGCCGCTTGAAAATCCTGTGGTAACCGTTGGTCATAAGGATCGCTGCGCCTAAGGCGTCCGCAAAGTCAGTGACTATACACGAGCTAGATCGGGTACAGAGCCTGTGCGAGCACTTACCGGAGAAAGGTCCCTTCCTGGATTAACTGCATGTCCGCAGGGCGTTGTCGAAGGAACTAGAGGGATGTTCAAAAGAAGGCAAGTCCCAGACGGCAAGCCATGCGAAGAAGCCAAACATAGAGGTCATCTGAGAGAGCTTGTGTCGCAGGAAGCCCGGCAAGAGCTGGAGAATCAGTATATATGCATAGTGACGTCTACACGGAGTGCAGTCTTGGGTCAGCAAGCGATCCGACACGAAAGTCTGATAGCGACCATAGTTAGAAGAGCGGACAGTGGAGGAAACGCGAGAACTCGCCTTATCAGATAGGTCGACGAAGTCAGACGGTAGCTGGGCAAGATATTGACTGCAGCAGCGTCGCCATTGAGAGCGGCACAGCAAAAACCCAAAAGCAGGCCACAATTGACCTAGAGGTCGTTGATGGAGAGTGGAGACAGCCCTCGGACATTAAGAGCGTGCTAAGACGAGACGACCTTGCAAGCCTTGAGCTTGAGGTTGTGAGGGATTGGAGTTGGAAGGTGAGAGTCAGAAGTGAAGCTAGTAAAGCGTCGTTGAGCCTGAGATATGAAGTTGGGAAAGGACTAGCGCGAGATGAATATCAGTAAGTGCCGAGTATGACCGTGGGAGTGAGATCCGTAAGAGCTGGAAACAATAGTAAGTCTAGTGATCGCGGGCGTCTGCAACCCGACGCGCTCTGCACGCGTCGCGATCGGGCTCGCCGGCACAGCTCTATCGCGACCAGGACCTTTGCATTCACTCGCACGCCACGTATCGCCATGAGAATGATTGTATGCAAAGAACGCCAAGTTGTGTCCTCAAACTGTCCCCGATAATGAGAAGCACCGCGCGGCACCTTAATAAACAGCCCAACCCTTGCGCTTTCATCTTTCACGCTCAGACTGGAGTGATCTCAATCCGGAACACTGCTTTTGCGTACAAAAGTCGCTTCCACCAGTCACGCCCAGCGTGTCTTGACACAGAAGATGGTTCAGGCGGCAGGCTGTGAGGCCTTGAGGTACTACACACCGGCTCTGCTTGTGGCGTGAGTCGCTGTTAGACCCGGCCTCAAGGTGCTGTGCTTCAATCATCCATGATGCTGCTGCAATTTATATCGCGATGGTCAGTACACGACATGGCTCTGTTGTAAAAATGAGAGTCACAACGGCATATACCAGCATATACATGTCAAGTGACTCGGGTCGACTCAAAACCGCAAAACGTATGTAACACGCACAGAAAGCGACTCAGACGGAGCACAACAGATAGCATAAATACCACAATATTAACGCCGAAAGCAGCGGAGCGAATAGCTCAGAGACGTGAGAGGGTATCATCTACGTGTGCTACACTTCATATAAACCACCGCCCAATGGGTATCAACAGCATGAAGATTATAAAGGAACCACAACGGAGAGGGGGCGGCATGCGAGGAGCAAATCACTGCGCGTTCTCACCGGCAAGCACGAGGAGCGCCATGTTCACGATGTTCGCGTACAGCGTTGCGATGTTCGAGGTCGGAGTGGGCGCCGCGGTCGAGGACGCGCCAGCAGCAGTGCTTGATGCGGCAATGCTGCTCGCGATGAAGCTCGAGCTAGCGGCGCTCGAGGACGAGGCGACCGAGGAAGACGGGGACGACCAGACGCTCGAAGAGGAAGAGCTGCTCCAGGTCGACGAGACCGTGGGCACTATGCTCGATGTCGTCGGAGGGGGTGGGGGCGGAGGCGGAGGCGGGGGCGGGGGCGGTGCAGATGTCGTGGGTGGCGCCTTAAACGCCGTAGGTGGTGGGGGCGTGGACGCAGGGTTGCCGCCGCCGACACTCCAGCTACCCCACGCGAGGTCGTCGAAGAAACCGAAGAAGTTTGCAATCGCGGGTGTGCAGTCGAGGCCGTTCTGCGGGCAGCCGGGGCACTACGATACGTACGATTGTGAGCATATATAACATATGCAGGAATAGATGGCCGGCAGAGCTGGGAAGAACAAACGCGTACCTCGTCCACAATCGTCGCCTGGGCAGTCTTACCATTGAGTGAAATCGTAATTTGCTGGCCGCACATGTGCCCAGCGATTGACCCGAATTGCTACGGAGTCACTGGTGAGCGTGCGCGTCCGCGAGGCGCCGTCAGGGACGCTCACCGGAGAGTTCAGCGCGACAATCTATGAATGCGCTGCCGTCAATATGTGCGCACTAGGAAATAGAGATAGCACACGTACCCAATCGCTGTTATGGTAAAAGCCTCCGCAGGCGACCTGGTTCCCGGTCTCGGGGGAATACATGCTGAAGCGCGCGTTCTGGAAAGTCTGGCCACGCTTGAGCAGCGTCCCGTTCTGAGCGGGGTCGAGCTCGATATGGAGGCTGCTCACGCCAGCGTGGCGGCGGCGAGGAGCATCATGGGGTCCTGCAGCGACGGCAGTGGCAAGAATAATCGTGGGGAGGAACGATTTGAACAACATACTGAGTCCTGTTGTACAAGTAGGACAGCGGGTAATGACAGTGGATACAGTACAAAGGAGAGCAAGCAAAAATGAGCGGTGACGGAGCGTACAGCAGCAGTAAGGAGACGGCAGCCAAAGCTTCCGAGGCGAGATGGATGAAAGCGCAAACTTGAAAGTGGAGGGTACAAATATTGACCGACGCGGCGACGCCAAGCATTTTGCGAAGCACACTGGCAGCACCGGTTTGCGGTGATGGCGAGCCTGATGGTTCCAACCACGCGAAAACTCGGTGCGGTCCGGATGCCTCCCAGCGCACCTCGGCATACTCCCAGCACCCGATCTGTTCCAACCGCGTCGCGTCGGCGTCCTCTTTTGGCAAGTGTCGTCCCCGGAGTCATTCGTGTATGGGCTATCTGAAAGCAGAGCACACAAGCAAATACTGACCCTTTGATAGTTTGTGAAACATTCTCTCAAAGCGCGCGACGTAAGCAATCCTCACGGCGTCGCAAGCCCGCAAAGTGACAGCCGAGAGGCATCGTCACATCCGCCACCTCCGCCATTCCGGAGACTGCAACGGGATTTGTATATCGCCGTCTTGCTATGACCGACGGCTCAGCGCGGCCGTTCACGCTGAATCTGCACACCAATCTAGATGTCGTGCGTTCATTTCTTCTTTCGCGATCAGCAAACGGCTGTCTGAAACTGCTACGGAGAACATATCATACGCGAACACCACCCCGCGAGGAGTTAGCTGGTACTCGACCTGGCAGTATACTGTGAATCCTGCAATGTAGTTGAAGGCGCTCCGTCCAATCAAAGCCTTGTAAATCGCACTCACATCACTGTAGCATTGTTAGCTGCCCGTGCAACGACGACGACCTCGCCTCACGGAGTACCGTAGCTATACTCTGCTCCAGCCGCAGTCGTCCCTCACGCCGTCCCACCTCCAAACGCCGAACATGTTATACGGTTCAAGTTAGCCTTCTTAAAACGGACTCAGGTCAGCGTTTTCTCGCTCACTGACGTGCTCGATAGACTCCGATATCGGCGAAACAGATATCGTGGCGTCCCAGCAATGCGGTGGTGCGGCTTAGCTATGATCACAATTAAGCAACGAATATGAGAACTGCAGATCATATCCCGAAGACCCGAGGTACACCGAGGTAAAAACCATACAAGCAGATCAAATTAACGTCCTAGCAGCTTACTCGACAACTCTCGCAGCCGACGCCGCCTCTTCTTTGGTTTCGTGCCCGTGGCACCGATCTTGGGCGTGTCATCCGGAACTGTCTCGTCGTTCTCGAGCGTGGCTCCGCTGGCGTATCGTTTCTTATATTCCGCGGGGGTTTCCTTTGGTCCTCCGCCTTTCCAAATTCCTCGCTTGTTTTTTCTTTGAATTGGCGTAAGCACCCGCTTGATGGAAAGGCTTGTATTACATACCTAGCTTCCTCCGCATATGCGTCGAACTCGGCCTCGCTATATGGTCCGTACTCGGCGCCACTCTGCTTGTAGGTGACGGCCCAGCCAGCGCGAAGCATCTCGATGGGAATGCACTTGCCCTTGGCCATAAAGCCCGGCAAAAACCATGGTTTAAGGTACGGCATTGCAACCTGCGGCGTCGTTTCAATGCCAATCAACATACGCTATACAAACTGAGAACATACTACACGCGAGTACTGATCCCGACGGTAGAGCATGCAGTAAACCATGCGCCCCGCGACCTGGCGTTTCAGCCAATCAAGGCTTACAGCGTAGTTCTCCTGAGTGGGTTTGCCAAAGTGTCCGCCTTCGGGTGCATCGACGCCGGCCATGCGAATGTGGATCGTGTTATCCTTGAGGGCTGCCGTGAGTTGCTTCCCTGCACGTGCACTGCTGAAGCACGATGCTTACCTTTCTGCGTAGTAGGAACGCCCCTCAATTTAAACGGCCAACGCCAGCCAAATCCCGGCATGTGGTACACGCGGAAGTTGTCCGCGTCGCCTACGCTACACGAACACCGCTCAGTAATTCCACGCGTGCGATGGTACCGACGCGCACCTTACAACCCGACCCTTGATCCATCGTCTGCGTTTGAATACGTCCGGTGTAATCCAGTCGGCGTTTGGTATCCGGCGGAAGTAACGTTTGTACACGAAAGCGGTGCCCCATGCTGAGATCGCCCCGACAGTGAAGGCCGAAAGCGCGAGGGTCGGTGCTGGTAGCTGTGCCATGCGCTCTATTGCTGCATCATACGGCGAGAGCTTCTTCTTCTTCTTCTTCTCAGCAAATAGACCCCATTGTGACATAGCGTATGCAAGGGGTATATGTCGAGGTATAGATGGTCGTGGTCTGGTGAAAGGCACGTGCAAGCGTGAAGTAAAGAGTCCTTTCTGGGAGTGATCAGCTCAGTAGCCGGATGTTAAGTGGGCGCTTGGAGCATCGTTTTCTACGCGCCTATACTTTCCCTTACCAGTACAACGTGATGCTTACACTGTGTGCTTACACTCATCAATATCGATAACTTACCTTGGTAATTCGCTCCTTGACCAACACCGTGCTGTGTAAAACTCGTTATTGGATGGCTGCCCTCCCGGCTTGCGACCACTGCTCGAGAGCTGATCTTCGTGACATTCTTGGTCTGCTCTTCAAGCTTCAGTCTTAACCATGCTGCTCTCAAAGATTCCCTTGGCGACACTGCTTCAAGGCATTCTTCTCGGTTATATCCTAGTCTCGCTGGTTTATACAACAGGCTTCATCATCGCGTCTCCTGCTGTATCTGCTGTTTTCGCTTTGGTCGGTGTCGAAATTTCCGGTTCTGAGTCACTTGCTTTTCCGAAAGTTGCACCTCGAGTGGACCTCATCGCGCACGCCCACCAAGTCTTCAGCTCTAGCCACCCTTCTTGGGGCGCAGACACTTATAGTTCACTCCGGGATTTGGCTTCCTCGAGTGACTGGCTGTACTGGAACTTGCCTGCTCTTGGTCCTCTTTCTGGGTCTCTCGACGATGCTCACGCTGGCACACTGCCAGTCCAAGAAGGAACTCTTCTGTCGAAGGCGTTCGCACAAGCCCTGCATCCGACCGAGTTCATCCCGTTCTACTACAAGGCTACCGGTCCTGTCGACACCTCAGACGTGACTATAACAACCCTTGTGACCAGCAACCGCTACAAAGTTCTCAAGCAGCTCGTCGAGCAGTACAAAGGTCCCATCTCTGTTACGATATATATCCCACTCCCGCCACCTACCGCGTCTGCGTCCGAGACCTCCCAGTTCATCATCGCAGTGCAGGATCTTGACGCGCTCTATGCATCCTCGCCACACTTTGCAGCATATGTCGACGTGCACCTCGCGCTCTCCCCGCTCTCAAGTGCACCGCATGCGACATCGGGTAGCACTGAGGGCGGCCGGCAGTTCAACGTCTGGCGGAATGCTGCGCGCCTTTTTGCTCGTAGCGAGTTCGTCATGATGCTTGACGTTGATTTCGCGGTCTGCACCGACTGGCGGAGTGTCGTTCGTGGTGCCGTCGCTCGCTCCGGTCTTCCGCACACGACCGTCGGGAGCGAGCTGCCGGAGCCGACGCCATTACCCGGCAAGCGCGAGGAAGTACGACAAGTCGTGCAGAAAGTGCGTGAAGGTGCGGCGGCGCTGGTTGTTCCGGCATTCGAGTACACAAAGCAAGGGGATGGCGCTGATCACACAAGGTTTCCCAAGGATAAAGAGGTGCGCATACACACAATCTGCGACGTGCGAAGCTGATTGTCGTTCAGAGCCTTCGGCGCCTTGCTACGGGCCCGCATCCCAAGCTGGACATGTTTCACGCCTCCTGGGCGCCAGGACACAACAGCACCGATTACACCCGCTATCTCTCCACTCCATCGAACTCGCAATCGCTCTACAAAGTGATTACATACCAGAGCGCATACGAGCCGTATGTCATCATGAGCAAACGCGTACCGTGGTGCGACGAACGCTTCACCGGCTATGGGGGGAACAAGGCCGCATGTCTCTTCGAGATCTATCTCAGCGGCGTTGACTTCTATGTCATGGCAGACCACTTTCTCATCCATCAGAGCCATAAATACGAGGAAGAAGCAAGGAGAGAAGAGGTCAGTCACCACCTCGGTTCGTTCTTGCTCGTGCGCTAATCCAGATGTTCGCAGCGCAAGTACAATCGTAAGCTCTATGCCGACTTCAAAGAGGAGGCGTGCCTTCGGTACCTCTACCGCTTTCACTCTGCCGGTCAGCTGCGCACGTCGGTTGCCGCCAATGCCGTCCAAGAGTGCAAGAAGGTGAAAAGCGTGGAGAAGCTGGCGTCAGAGGTATGTATTTCTAGTTCAGTACGATTGCCCTCGTAGCTGACACGACGTTAGCTACTCGGCGAGTCACTGTAGTATGTATGACCTCTATTGGGCTCAGTTCGAGAAACAAGAATGTATGGATTATACAACGATACAGGCAAACATTGAACGTCCGTTTCACTTGACCAAACAGTTACACTGGTTTGCATAACTTGATTGACACTAAGGCTCCAACCGTTTTGTTTGTTTACTGTGTATAAACGTTTATTACTGTTTACCGTTTCCGTGTGTGTAAATGAAGTCATGTAAACTTGGTGTAAACGTTTATACACAGTAAACATACAGTTTCCTCTTGTTGTTTGTAAAAGGTCTTAGTGTTGTACATTCATAGTCTTGCTAACAGACTTGACCTTTATTGGGCTGAAGAGTGCATCGCACCACCTGTGCATCGTCCTCGGGCAGCCTCTTTGAACCCCCAAGCCCGGCGCACTGTATCAAGCGCCTATGCCCTGAGACTTACTGGGAGTAATGGTAGTCATGATCCTAACTTGTATTGAGCACAGTCTGAAGGCGAGCATTATAAATATAATATAATGTGTATTTATTGACTGCTCCTCTACATATAGTCTACTGTGGGCACTGGCAGCCTGCCTGCGAGAGTGCGGTATGCGAGAATGTTGTGAGCCCATACTTCATTCAAGAGGAACAATATTAATATTAGTTCAACCTCATTGAGCGATGACAGTACCACATGCGATACTAAGGCAGATTGACTCTAAAAAGGGCTATCAGAGGTCCGCACCCATGCGGCAGTCTTCTCTAAGCCAGCTCTCGAAGTCCTAGCGCGAGAGTATGTCGTGTTACCCCCGAAGTGCCAGGCTAACACTCGCATAGGTTATCGGCCCACTTCTCAATGACGAGGTCAATGATAGGACATGCACTTCTAAAGGCGGAACCGCAGCTTCTTACAGCCC